TGCAGCAGTTAAAACAGGTAATATCTAATACTCTTTTCATAATATGTATATGTAACATGATGCACATTTTAAACTGTTGGACTCTATGAGATTCATCTTGGACTATACAGTTTAATCTAAATCATTTCATTTCCATACAGCACTTGAACCCTATTCCTGTTTTCAATAGTAATTAGGATTTCAAATAATTTCTCTGCACACATACAGTACTAGAATTTTGATTTTGGGGTGTTGAAAAACCTCCTTTTTCTGCTTCACAGAATTGACAGTACTTTGGGAGGATGTTGTTGATGACGGGAATGAGAGAAAGAGGCTGCAGTGCAGTGAATTTGGGATCTGAGGCAAAATAGTCTGCCCCGGTGGAGGTTTATTGCAACATCAACCATCAGGTTGTTCAGTCCACAGAGAAACCCTGCGCCAGACCATAAAAGAAACACTGCAGCCAATGACTCTGAATCAGGAGGAAAGCCCCCAACTAGGACCCAAGATATCGGGGGCACACACCCAGGTCTGATCAGCCTGTGGTGGGCCTGCCTCATAGCAGAGGGTGTCTTGTGAATAAGACTGTATCACCCAGTGACACTAATATGCACAACTGATGACATGTTCCCAACATCCACTGGTGGTCGCTATTAGCTGCTGTGATCCCTGATATCTGCTGGTGGTTGGCAACATAACATCAAGATAGTGCGGAAGACCTATATTAGCTTGAAAGTTACAAACAAAACACATCAAACACCAGAATGATGGAAATAGTTTTTTCAGTGACTCTGACTGTGTCAAGATTTCTGGCTACATTTTTTCTGAAACTGTTGATTTCCTTATATTTGCACTCACAGCAGCCTTGAGAGTTTGCATTCAAAATGGATCCAAAAACAAATACTTTCAGTGAGCAACAGTTCTTTCAAATGAGAGAGATCAGAGGAGAATGGTTAGCCTGGTTGTAGCTGATAGAAAGGCTGTGGTAACTAATAACCATTCTGTACAACTGTGGTGAGTAGAGGACCATATCAGAATGAACATGTCCCACCTTGAGGTGGATGATCTATATCAACACAGATCACATCAGGTTCCTCTCCTGTCACCCAAGGGGGTCACTGAGGCTGCAGTGACGCAGACTCACTAACACTGGACAGTTGAAGACTGAAAAACATAGCCTGGTCTGATGAATTTCTACTGAGGCGGCAGATAGTAGTCTATAGTCTAAGCTGCTGGTTGTGTTGTGATGGCGTGGGAATATTTTCTTGACACACTTATGGCTCTGAATACAAATCACTCAGAGTATTGTTGCTGACCATGTTCATCCCTCTATCTATAGCCACAGTTTACCATCTTCTAATGGCTACTTCCAGCAGGACAATGCACCATGTCACAAATTAAAAGACTCAAACTGGTCTCATGAACCTGGAAGTGAGTTCAGTGAATTCAGTCACTTGTACATACGTTGGTTTCGAGGCCTCAGCCTGGTCTGTTTGCAGTTTATGTCCTCCCTCCACCTCCATGGTACAATAAACAATCCTGTTTGGAGCCAACGACTTCAGACCCTGAACCTCCATGATCACCACCTGCAACACACAGGCATAGTTTCAAGACAAGAAGAGAGGGAACTGGAGAAAATGGATCAAAATGATGGACGGCAACTAAGAAAACAAGAAGACAACAGAGTCAACATTGTCTCTTCTTAGACAGAATAAGTCATCAAACAATAGACAGGCTTGTTGTAAGCTGCAAACTGCATCTTTCAATGGTGTCTGTTACATGTTACATGTACATATCAAACACTTCACCACTCCTCCATTGGCTTAGTGGTGAGTAGATAATGAGTGAATTTAATTTTTTTTCTCGGAACTATCCCTTTAATGAAAACACACTGAATAAATGTAGCATTATCACACATGTCACAAAACAGTAACATAAGTGGGAATTTTGTTAAAGTTGTTTGTTTGAAAACCAGACGCAAAGGAAACAGATGGTCGAGCTTTTGTGAGAGGTAAAGTAGAGAGCAAGAGAGTGGTGAGTAAGTTTTGATCCTCCACAGTTACTATTTCTTTACATTTGATTCAACAGAAGGGTTTTACTTTCTTGCTGCGTTCAAAGCTCTTGGAAAACAGTTCTGGCTGTTTTGAAATTATGAAAACAGACACCACTGTCACCCTGTTTGACTCCACTTTCAGAATTTGCTTGAATAGCTGCAGAGAGCAGTGGAAGTACTTAAATAATGAAATGGGATCACATAAAAACCTACTTTGTTTGTACATTGACATTCAACCCACTGAATCCTGTGCAATGATTCATGCTTGCTCTCTCAGTAGATCTATCATTTCTAATTGCCATATTGTTTGTCCACTGCAGTGTTAATGTTGATAACTTTATGAATAAAGTATAGAATCACCTAAGCTTACTGAAACTGAAGCCTGTCTCCAGTAACTGGCTGCTGAGCCTTTTCAGAGCAGAGACTCACAAACTGTGGGGAGGTGCTGCAAGGCTAAAGAAAGCATTCATTGTACAAAAGATAGAATTTCTCCCACCTCACCCACATTGTATTTTTTATACCAAAAGAGACATAATAGTGTAATTTTCTCTCTGGGATGCTAGAAAAGCAAAAAAACAGGGAGATAGTATAATAATTGTCTGGACTGTTATGCTTGATTGCATCTTTGTGGAGGATAAACACCCATAGGTAATTTATCATGCGAGTGCTAAGGAGATTCTATTTTCACTCTCCTGTTACTGTTCAACAGAGGAATTGACATGCCCGTCTGCCAATTAGGGTGGGGTTCCAAAAGTCTGTAAGTCAGCAGCCAATCTAGGAGACTCATCTCATCTCATCTCATCTCATCAGCCGCTCCAGACACTAATCCTGGAAAATCATCCATGGATCTCGAGGAAAAACACTGCGAGGAAGATTAACTGGTCTGATTTCAAAATCCAAAAAATACTTTATTTGGCCATCCAGGTGACAAGAATATGTCTCTCCATGTCGAGATTTCTGTGATTCTCTGGACCAACCTGACCGTAAGTATTTGTTTTAAGGGCCTTTCTGTCACCTAATTGTGTGTGGGAATGTGTTACACGTAACACTTTCAAACCTAAGTAGAAATTATAGCAATATACTGTGATCGCAATAAGTTCTGCAGAATACTGTGAGTATGTGGATGGGTGAAATAAATAGAAACTTATTTTATAGCTGACATTACAGCTACCTGGAGGAGGGTTTCACGATCTTTTGCAAGAGGGACAGAAGAATGAAAGGAGACAAAATAAACAGTCAGAGCTAACAAAATGTTCAACAAACACAAGAAAAGCAGGTATGAGTACAAAAAGTCAGACATAACAAAAGAAGATATAGCGAGGCTATCGCTAATGTCAATAGATAGTTTAAAAGTTTAAAATTGTGGACATTTAAAAATCGATCATTTATTCTATCTGAGAATAGAAGTGAAGGGCAGTTTTGCAGGAAAATAAAGGATATGTTAAAAGTCCTGATAGTTAACTATACAATAATTGACCTGCCCCCAGCAAGAGGCATGGTTTATTCCTTTAATAGATCTGTGTTTGACATGAAAGCATTCCTTGATCATTTGGAGAGACAAATCATCTAATGAAAGAAAAGTGAGGTTTAACTAAATGGACAATGTCCAATTCATCCACCTATGCTGCTTCGAGGGTCATAAACAAACCTTCAAGCACATACAATAAGTAAAAATACAAACTACAATTAATCTTAAAATACTTTTCTATTTATCCCTTACTTATGCGGGTCTCTTTATTTCAGTGAGGAGACCTTTGATAATAATTTAGTTTCTAATAAAAAACCTCCTGAACCATGAACAAGAAAGAATCCTGACCAGGAGACTGCAACTATGGCAACATGTCCAAAACCAGTTATTTTTCTTGGTCTTCATGTTGTCGGATGATTCTCCAAAATTCTACTTACATATATACAAGGAACATTGAACTCTTCTAAGCAGATAGAAAAAAATATTCACATTCCACAGTAATGTACCATTTCCACTTTGGAAAGTGAGGCACCAGCCAACCCAGTCAGACCCACCCCAACATTTCCTACTTTTGTAAAGTACTAACCCTGAGCTGGGACTTTTAAGGGGGTAAAACTATTTCTCTGAAATAAATGTAGACCCTGGTCTAAATGACGTTCCTTAAAAAAGTTTCAAGTTCCTGGAGAAAGTTCCTGAAGTGAAAATGCAACTAATGATAGTTAACACCAATTATTTCTTCAACCTATATCCTCTGTTCTTACACAAATCAGTAAATGGCAATACAATAACAAAGCCAAACAAAAAGATATTTAAAACACATCAGAGCTGTTTAATAGAATTCCACCAACCTCCAGGGTGAAGGACAGCACAACATCAGATTTGGACAGCGTGTTCTCGTCTTCCTGGCCCATGTCCATGATGGATGTATTGTGGCCTCGTTTCAGCTTCTGCAGTTTAAACTCTCCTCCCTTGGACACAGGCATGCTCTCCAGGTTGGCCATCAGTAGGTTGACAGAGGATCGCAGCTCTTCAATGAACATGGCCTCCATCTCCCTGGAGGAAAACTTAGGAAACCTTCCTCCATGCTGACCAAAGCAAGAAGAGAGCCAAATCATTAACGAGCACTATCCACACAATGTCCACAACAACAACACCAGGCATACATCCAAACATAACATTTTCACTGTGAACTACCACCTGCTCAGCCGAGCAGAGAGTATGTCTCAACTCTAAACTTATGTGAAACTTATGTAAAAGTCTAGATAAAGCGATAACTTTAGAACATTTTACACAGAAGTGCCTTTGAACTGTGACATTATCCATCTTTTGTCCTTACCCGAGCAATCTGGTCAGCCATTTGCAGTCGTCCATCCAGCTCTCTTCTAATCTGCGCTGCCTGCTCATCAGGGTTGTCCAGCTGGAGAAACAGACACGAAATACTTCTTAATAATAATCATCATCATCAATTATTATAACGAGAATAATAATAAAAAAATCATAGTAATGCTGAACATCTTCAATGGAATTTGTACAAGTTTAAAGTACTGGCAACATTGTGTTCCAATTCAAGTGCCGTCTTTAACATTAACATAATTTTCATTAGCTGTATTGTACAGGATTGTTGTTGCAAATTGCTTTGATATTATTTATGATTAATATATGGTAAAGGTGTCTATAATTTTCCTTTTTGATTTGATACTCTTGTTTTGAACATGTGCAAAATGTAAAAGTAAAAGTTTACTTATAAAAGCAGATGTTGCAGATTCTGTTGCAAGTATATATGATAGTTACTATTCCATATACATGTTTCTATATTTTTGTATTTCATCACACTAACTTGTTACTTTACTGATGTCAATTATTGACTGCCCTTGTTGCTGTAACGGGAAAAATCTACTGTTATGGGACTACTGAAGGATTGTCTTATCTTAAAAGTATCACTAATGTACATTATTTGTGGAACCCTGTCAAGGTTCTGTTACGACACCCTCAGGGTTACTTAGACAATAACAGAACACTTTAAAAGTACAAAATAACAAAATCATTTAAATTGAGATTCCTCACAACATCACTTAGTGTGGGTAAGTAATAGTTTACTGTCTGTCTGTATAGGATAATCAGCCATAAAAAGGTAAATAAGTTACACAAGTCTTCTCTACAAAAGACATACATGTTTGTATATTTCTCTACATGCTGCAGAGCATAAGGACAAAACAGTTTAATAATGTTGTGGTTGCTACATGTGGAATATGGATTGGAGCGAAATACAAATGATATTTTCTGCTATTTGTCGGTCAAAAGATTTGAATGGTTCCCGTGCCTGATAGTGATACAGATGTTCAGGATGCTCTGTAGAATGTTTTGAAGAAAGGTGGTTGGAGGCAAACCTAATTCAGCTACCTCTCTATAGAACAGTCCCACTGACGGTCAGCGGTGCATGCTACCCTTTATATGAGCCATCTGTTAAAAAAACTGGTGTGAGGTGTGTGGGTGTGCGTGTAGTCTTGGCATGAAGTCAAACACAGGAAGTGAGGATATGCACTCGTCACTCGATTGTCCTTTGATTCTGTTTAAGAAACGAGAAGAATGACCAATTTGGGGTCCATGGAGTTGCGCCCCTGCAGAATGTGGTTGCGTTGGCTCCATCAGACCATGACCTTCAGCACTGGGGAGGTTTGCTGTCAAGTGTTAAGCAGGTGGGATGAGAGTTTGTACCTCTCTGAGGGAATGGGTTGTTTTCAACTACTGCTACTTGGGATTGAGCTGTTGTCCCAAATGAAGACGTTTTATGGGCCCAAAAATAGACAAAATCTGTGAACAAATGATAACTTCAGGTTGAATTCTGGTTTTCAGTTACGTTGGGCTGCTTTTGCTCTCTCTCTCTCTGTGTGTCTCTCAGTCTGCCTCTCTCTCTCTCACTCTCAACCCTCACCCTCTCACCCATCTGTCCCTACCATTGATTTTCTCCCACTGGATGCATTAACATCTTGCTAGAACACCCACCCCTGCTGTTACCACTGACTGAGGAGCACGTTTGAATTACTGCTGCCTCCCAGGCACCACACACACACTCACACACATATATACAGTGATATGCACCACAGAATTTAAACATCATTAAGTCTGCAGAGCAATACTGTGTATGCACACCGATGTGATTATTGTATCCTTCTGAAATACAGGGATGTTGCAGGATATATACAGCACATGCACACTGCATGTGACAGTGCTTAATTGAAGATGTGCATTGTCTTTCTATTTTTTTTTTTGCAGTTAACAAGTTACAGTTTATAAATATTTTCACTGAGAGACTAAACGATCAAGAGTCTAGACTTGCTCCAGACTGTCCTTTACCCAAAATAACCTCAGAAAATATCTATTTGGCTTTTCATCTACTATCAAAATGAGTCCTAGGTTCCAGTAGTACTGATACCTCCAATGGGCCATGTGTTCTAACAGACTCTTGACAATGTTCCTGTTGGGGTCTGTTGCTATGCTTGACTCCACATGGTTGCTTAGGGATCTGTACAGAAGGGCTGTGTGTTAAGCTTTATTCAGAAGTTCTTTAAGTGGTCGTCAAGACTAGAAAAGTGCTGTGTAAATACAGACCATTTACCATTTACCATATAGCACTAGTGAAACATCGGTACACAGTCAACAGACAGCTGTACTGTTGTACATATGCATATGGTACACATGGGTGAAAAGCATGGATGTGGTTGCAGTGCATACAGTCTTTACATGGTGCTCTCCATGTGAAGGTTGGCAAGTGTTTTTAGATATAGAGGGATATTGTTTTAATTTCCAACTATATTTTCATTTAGTCTTTTTTGTTTCATGACATCTGGGCCATCTCATAAGTAGTAAGAGTAAGAAAATACTAAATAGATTGATGTTGTCACTTGAAGGGCTTGAGCACCAGCGCCCTCTGCAGCCACACGTGGTGATTAGTTCTGTTGGGCTCTGGGTCCTAAAGGAAAGTCCATCTGTTTTTGCAGAGTCCACAAAGGAATCAAGAAACTGAAACTAAAGCAGTGCTGTTAATGCTGTGTCATCTTTAGGCCGCAATGTCACAGAAATAAAGTAAAAATGTGTTTGTTATGAAAATGGCTTAAAAACACTTCAATTTTATAAAATATGCAGCATGCTAAAACAATCTGACATGCCTGTAGAGCAAGTTGCAACCAGCTGTGTCAAGGCCCATCCACCTGACCTTCACAACACCAACTGTGCGCTCATGACACTTATTGTATGAGCGTTCCCGTCATGTCTTTGGAGCCAGGGAGTTTTAGCATAACATTTATTTTAGGTAAAGGATCTGAAAATAACTCACATGGCAAACCATTGACAACTTCCCACTCCCCATCACAGAAGAGCATTTACGTGAGTTTAGAAAGATATCTTAATTTGAACTGCAGTTCAGAGTTTAACAGAATAATATGGAAATAATTATAAGGTATAATTAACCAAACTAATGATATATATATCGTCAGTGAAACCTTGTTTTGCATAACAGCAGAATAATTTCTTCCGACTCTGATAAAATGTTAATAAAATGGTTTGTACATGAAATAAAATTTCCAAATACATGAAAATTGGTGAAAGTGGCAATGACAAACCACTAAAAAACAAATCTGTTCATACGATTGATTCTTGCATGAGGCCATATATCTAAACTTTCACCTTTAATTCCTAATTGATGACATTCTTACAAGTCAAAGAACTGTCTTGTAAATGCACAAGTTTATAAAGTTCCTTTTTAGTCAATTATTGAGAAACAATTTGACCTGTAAAGTAAAATGTATCACAAAAAGGTTTTCTTTCCTGCTGATAGTGGTCTAAATGAATCCGGTTCAGTGGAGTGCATTAAACCCACTCAACAAAAATGTGGCTCCCTGTTGAGTCTGTTGATCAGCAGGGAGTCTATTGAAAAACCCCAAACCCCCAAAACCACAGAGCCAGTAATTCTACTGTCCCTTGTGAAATATGTTCATTTCCTGCTCAGCCTTTTTTCTACTGACTGAGCACAGCTCCTCTGCTAACCACAAATACTGTTTTTTAGAGAGAGGATGCTATCTTTCTTCAACTGATGAAAACCATAAACCTCTGAATATGTATATGTAATTGAAAAGGAACTCTAAATGGAACACCCAATGCTCATCGCACTTTCCTTCTAATGAAGGTTTTTTTTGTGGCTTATGATGGAAAATGTTTCTCATAGGATGCTAGTGGAAGCCACTGAATAGTTGTGGAATGTAGGTTACTTTATCATCTTACTCAAAGATTTACAAGAGGCTGTAGTGTTGAGACTGTCCTCCCATGAGAAACATCAGCATTTAATGAAATAGCCAACAGTTCCGTCCCTTTAATGCACAATTAAAAATGGGGGCAATCTGCCGGAGATGCAGCGCTACCAAGCAGACCAATCACAAGTGGTGTTACAAATAGTTACAATCTTGGGGGGGTGCACCATACAGAAAACAAATATGTGCACCTTTTCAGGCCTCACAATTTTACTCGCTACATTTGAACACAAATACTTGTACTTTGTACTCTGTACTGTCTTTACACTTTTATGCATGGAGCACCTCTCGCTCACTCACATGCCCCCTCGCTCGGGAGACGCGCAGGCCTCGGCAATGTGTGTGCCATCAGGGGGGCAGTGCGAGACCCTAAGCATCCGGAGGTTGGTCGGGATGCCATGGTCGACCAAGGTCGAGAGGGTTTACCGGTTTTGATCCCTCCGCAGGTTCACCTATAGCTCCAACAGGGCCGTGACCGACTCCGGCGGGGCCGATCAGAGGACCTTACTAAACCATCCAATCGGTAGCAGCGACCGGCGGTGTGTACAAAAGGCAGGGACTTAATCAGGGCCAGCACATTCCCCACCCATTTATTCCATGTACAAAATGATCCAGGTGCTCATACAGGACCTCGGTTCAGTTCAGTCTTTATTATTCTGTCTGAAATTTGGCAGCAAAACCAGACTGTGTCCGGTGTCCGGTGATTTTTGTCTGCACCAGCTCTGTGCAGGTTGTTATCATCATTAAAATCACTGTCCTTCGTCGACCGGAGACGCAGCATACAAAATGGATTTGTTTTGCATCCACGAAAACATGGCAGAAGGCAGTGACGCTGCTCTGAAGGTTTTCAGTCTCCTCTGAGGACTAAGTGTGGAGTGTTTTGGTTTTTATAAGAGTGCTTTGGGAAAAATGAATGATGTCTGCAGAACATGAAGTGTGCACTGTGAAAGGTGGCAACACAAAGCAGGTTAAGTTTTAGCCCACATCAAGAATTGAGTTGTCAAAAGTCATGGTTAGTCTGTTTAACTTCCTAACACTTGTTGTAGTCATGTGCCTTGACAAATACAGCATATACATTTCGCCCACTGTCTCCAAGCCAACATAATTTGATCAT